CCGAGGGGAGAGCCGCTGCGGGTGCCTTTCGGTTTCCCAGCTGGACTCGAGGCCGGCGCCTTGCCTGGCCAGCGCGTATTGACCGGCACCCCGGCCGCCCCAGCTCCTCCTGGCACCCTGGCTTCTCAATCCCACCGCCCAGTGTTCCAGGCCAGCCTGGACGTGGACCAGGAAGAAGGCCGCGCGCCCCCATCGCAGGCTGTCTGTTGGGGGTGTCTCTTTTGCAGACCGTGGGTTGCTGGGTGGCCCTCTGAGGGGGTCAGGAAGCGAAAATGCAACCCAAGTGGTGAGAGTCTGACTATTGGTCTCCCTCCTTAGCCTTCTGCAAGTTAAAAAGCCACACCCACCCGAGGGGTCAGCTCCGCACCCTTGCGGTGCCCCGAGCCTCCCTTGTCCTTGAGCCTGGTGGGAATCTTGGAGCCCTCCGGAGGTCCCCGAAGCGGGCTGTGTTTTCTCTTAAAAGACTGCAAGTTTCAAGGCGGGGAGAGCCGCTAAATCCCTTCGTCTCGCCTCTTGTGTGTCCACAGGTAAAATGGAACTGCACGGGAAACCGATGGAAGTTGAGCACTCGGTGCCCAAACGGCAGAGGTGAGCCGAGTTACCCTTTTCTCACCGATTTGTAGGGAGAAAGCGCTGAATACAGATGAAAACTAGGTTACACTCTAGCTTACACGCTGGGGGCCGCGGTTCTGCTTGCTGGTTTCCCTCTTGCATTTAAGTTTATGGCAGGTGTGTGTGTGCGCGTTGATAATTCTGGGAAGTAATCGAGGGCTTGTCAGCGGCCCCTGCTTCTGGGTTATTGTTGTTCTTATAAAAGCCTGTCAGGACGCTCTCGCAGCTCACATTTTCTTGTCAGAGCAGGTCTAGTCGCTTCAACTGGAAACCCGCCTTTCAAAGGGCTAAACAGTCTTTGGGAACCGAGGGGATTTAGACTGGGCCTGGACGGATGTGGGGGGCTGGTTCGCGGGTGGTGGGCGCTTCTGAGAGGGGAGGAACACAGTTGCCTTTGCCCTGATTCACTGGCCAGCCAGCGGCCATTGGAGTACAGAGAGTGAATGCCGGGGTCCTGCAGCCTTTCAAACACTTCTAAGTTTTTGCAAACAGTACCTTTGTTCAGCTCCTCCTGCCTTTGGTGTGTTTTTGCTTACAAATAACCGCCATGGTAAAGGCTAGGAGATCTGTGCTACTCCAGTGGGATTTCTGTGAGAGCGTCTGTAGCTGTCACTTTACAAAATATTTGCAGGCTGTTTTAACTGCTGAAGCTTTTTGGAGAAGTGGCTCTTTTTTTTTTTTAATTTTCCCTGGCACAGGCCGTGGATTCTAACTCTTAACTGGAAAGACCAAGGCATTATGGCCTTCTGGGTTTTGCAAGGTGGGGTTAGGGTTTCTGTCTTGCCCTTCTGCCCTCCACCCCCTCTTTCCTAACCTGGGCCAAACAATAAGCTTGAAGTTAATTCAAACCAGGGCTGTGTGTATCTGATGAAGTATTTGTTAGCGTGTGCTCTGGGGGACAGAAGGGAATTGCCGGTAGAGACAGGGCAGGAAGAATGCTATATGCTACAATCAGATGCCTTATGTGCTATGTTTTGAATGAAGTTCTCTTCCCTGGATCATTTCACATTTCTGGTTTTCGGAATAAACTGGTGTGGATATTTGTAGATTATATAAGCACTTGCTTAATTTTCCTTAAGATAATTAGAAAGATAGTTGAGAAACCTGATTTAGTTCCAGTTAAGGAATTTCGGTAGGGGTCAAGTTATTTCATATAGTAGAATGTAATTAAGTTTTTTTTTTATCTTCTAAAATAGATGTGGATAAAAAGTATTAAGTTGATCTTGGTTTTGTAGAAATGTAAACAGTTGAGGGACAAAGCATGTGCCCTTCGGAAGTTTAGAGACCTAGTTTGTGCTTTGAAAAATGAAATGTAGTGTACACACGCTAGTCGGTTTAATGCTTAGTCCGTGTATCTTGGTTCTTAATTGATTTTTCTCTGCCTTGTGCTTGGGATCAATCCAGGCCTTCATTTTTGCAGGCAGGAACTCTACACTTGGGCTACATCCCCAATTCTTGGTTTTTATCAATTGTTGAATTAAAAGTAAGCAAAAAAAAAAAGAAAGAAAGAAAAAGAAAAGAAAAAAGAAAGAACGAACGAAAGAAAGAAAAATTGGTGTAGCTTGGTGCTTGCTTAGCATATCAGAGGCCTTGGATTTCAGTGCCAGGAAGGGCAAATGATTATAATCAAAGGAACCTTTTGGAACTTAAAATATTAGATGTTTCGAGTTTTTCCAGGTACAGTTAATAGATTGACCTCCGTTTACTGTGCCTTCCGCTTTTTCTTTTAGGAATTAATGTCTCCCCAGGTGTGGAGAATTAATTTAGGGACTTTGGTAACAACTGCTAGTCTTCTAAAAGTTTTGCTTAGCTTGAAAACAGTTACTTGTTACTTTTGGATGGACAGGCTTCCTCTTTTGGAAAGCTAGCAGACAGATGTAGCAAGTGGAAGCAAATGTTTACTGGAAGCTTCTTCAGTTTATTAACAATGTAATAATAATAAGCTTTTCCAGCTTTTTTTTGTTTTCACTACTAAAATGCTTAGGATTTTAAATGCTGTCTTGCTAGCAGAACAAAGTAAACTGAGTACATTTTGTTTCTGACTTGAGAGCAGTTGAGTGCTGGAAATCCTTTACTGAAATGTCTTTTAAGTAGAGCCTTCTTTAGCTGCCTGGGAAATTTACTGTTCATCTATATGACGATTCAGTTTTAACTGGGCCTTTAAGTTGTGCCGTTTTCCTTATCTGGATTCTTCCATCATTTCCATGGGCTCTGGAAGAAGGCCAAGAGTTGACCTGGCAACCATATACTCACATACCTATGGCTAGGTTAAGAGGTAACTCTGGGGTGGATTACTTCGATAGGAGCTGATTGCACAACTCAGTCAGATCAATAGATTGCCAAGATAGTCTGCTGAACTTTGAGACAGAGTTTGTTTTGCTTAGCAGTCATTTTTCCACCATGATGTGGGCATCTGAGGCAGGCACGCCCACTTGTAAGGTACTGACCTTTATACCTGTTTGCAAGGCATGCTGGGAAGCGGGTGCTGGGGAATGCTTCTGGCAGAACTCTGAGCTGGACGACCAGGGAAGCAGGAACAGAGGTGATTGGATGGTTTGCAGGCTAGCCTAGCTGCTCTCACTGCAAGCTGAGCTGGGCGGGACCCTTTCAGGAAGGGGTATTGTTGAGTTTGGTTCAAACCAAGCTTAGTTCCCCATTACTGAAGTCTCAAGGGAATGTGGAAGGAATGTGGCTTTTCTGCATTCAGATGCCCCTCTGTTGTAGATTACAGCAGTGTGCACAGGGCCTGAGGATGCCTGTGTCCCTCAGTCCCAAATTCAAAGGATACAGCATAAGAAGGCTTGATAGCTTCCAGATCAGGGCTAATTTTTTTTCCTCTTGGACATAAGGTGAGTGAGGAAATAGTTTCACCTAGGAAGGACTGTAGAAGAGAGTGGTTGGAAGAGCCACTGGTGTCTGTAGGGCTTCTGGACGCCCTGTGTGCTTATGTAAACGGTACCGCTGCCCTGTTTTTGTTATGTTGTGGGCTCTTGGGCATGGGAGAGGGAATGGCAAAGTTGCTGACACTGCAGAACTGAGACATGGTGGTTTCAGTTAAATTTCCATGCCTTACAGATTCTTGATTTTTTTTTTCATATTTTCAGTTTTTCACAATCTACTCATATTTGATCAAACTTGTGATTTAGTTCTTAACCTTTGTTATGAATATTTGAATAAAGGAGAGAAATTATAGGATGTTATAGTTAATGTGTACAAAGAAGGATCCTTGAAAATAGTTTGTGGTCCTAAAGCTCAAGTACTTCATGTTCTTAATAAGAAGATAAAGGGAACAACTTGCTTTGATACTGGAACCTTGTCTCATGATGTCAGTTGAGTAGAACATTACAGAAATGACTGGGGTTTCATCCATTGTAAGTGGCCATTTAAAAGCTAGCGTGTTGCTTCAGTGGCTGTTTAGTGTGGAACAATGAAGCCAGGGGAATGGTAGCTACAGACTGTGGGCCAGCTTCAGAGTCTTAGGATGGCAAAGCTGTTTTCAATGCTGGCCATTTAGACACAGATATAGTTCTTCCTTAGTGCTGTGGGGCAGATGAAGCTCACGTCTGAATTGTGGAATTTCTCACACATGCAGATGGTTGAGGTTTAAGGTTAGGGAACTTGGTTGGGAAAGAACTTGGAGCAAAGTTACCTTTGAGTGCATAACTTAGGATCGTCTGTGTGACTGTCAGTCAAAGTGGTTGTGGCTGGGGGATTTTTTTTTTCTTTTTTAATTTCCTATTTGCTTGATACAGTTCGAATTTGTGAGATTTCTTACTTTAGCCTTAATAGACTTTTTAGAAAGGAAATGCTAAGTAGCTTTTACCATGTTAGCTTCTACCATGTTTTGCTCATAGCAACCCGAGGAAAATATTACTGAAATATGATATCTCTGCGGAGCCAGTGGGAATTGGGAACCTGGCTTCTGATTTTGGCTCTTGCTTTTGACCTGTGTGGTTGCTGAGAGTCTGCTCAGGCCAGATGCCGTTGTGACAACTCCACAGAGCGTAATTTGTTCTGAGGTTTTGCCACTTTCCTGGAAGCAAATGGGTTCTTGGAGAGGCTAAAATTTAAAAGTATCTTAGGGATTATAGAGATCTGATGCTTTTTCTCTAAGGACCCTGGCTTGAAATCTTCTGTAGTTCAGTAGTTCAGTAGCTTTCCCCGCCTTTTTCCTGTGTACCACTTTCAGGCAGTCAGTGAGTGGAATATTATCTTTGCTATGCTTTGAAAGCCTTTGTGAGCCCTGCTGCCGTGATCTTGTTGTCTCAGGACTGGGATCTTGAATTAAGTGACGCTGCTGAACCACCTCCATCTTTGTGAGAGACTCTTTTGCAATTGTCCTTAGCAGCATCCAAGCAACAGCTTTCCTAAAACTAACTAATTTTTGAAAGGTATGAATTATCCATTCACTAACTCTGGCAGTTGGTTTGGTCTGGGAGGAAGGAGAGGCGGAAAGATGGTTTAGCTGTGCTATTCTTAGCTGTTTCCTTTATCGACTGTTGCCTCTGATTCAAGCTTCCAGAGTCACAAGACAGGAGGTGGCACTGTGGTAGCAGTGACCAAAGGGTTGGCATTCTTAGTTAGGATTTCTGCCCCACACATCTGATGTTTACAAATGGCTTGTACTGCCAGGATTTGCTTGAAGGCTGGGCTGATGGTCGGCATACTTTGGAGAGCTCTGTTAAAATTGAGGGTGTAATTTATCATGACCTGAAGTCCTGTCTGGTAACTGCTTGGTACTGGTAAATAAATAGTAGCAAACATTAACATGGTGTGTGAATTTTGTTGTCACGAAGGGGGGGAGGGAGACGATGACTCATACTGCAACAACTCTACACGTTTTAGAGAATTATCCAGAGACCATTTAACTTAAGAAATACTTTAAACTTATCAAGAAAAGTGTAGTAGCTAAGATGATAAAGGACCAAGTGTCGTGTTTTTCTTTTGAAGCTAGAGCTTGCTATATAACCCAGGCT